ACAGTTTGGGCCTCCAACAATGGCGGCAAGATCACCATCCAGCGCCAGCCTCAGCATGCCCTTGTATGCTTTGGAGTTCATAGAAGCCATGTCATGCTCCTCCCCCCTTTTTAAATCCACCTCCAAAGTTCGAGAACCCAGGCCATATTCTTCCATGGCCTTGTGGAGCGTGAAGCCATTCTTTTCGCCTGCATAGAGGTGCAGGATGATTGGGCCAGCGGCCTTCAATCTTTTTCTTTGGCGCCGGTTTGCGGGCAAGTCTTTCCACTCCCCCGGCGGTTGTATCAGGGACTTCTTGATGGTGTCCGGCAGCATGGACAAGGTTGGGTGACCTTCAACCAGCGAAGACAGCCACTCCACCTCCCTTTTTGGATGTGTTTCTTCCACAAGCCGAGCTTGTTTGACATCAGTGACCCTTTCTTCATACTCCTTGATGAGCTCGAGGGCCAAAGCCTTTGGAATTTGTGGGCATCCAGCTTGAATGCTGATTGGAAGAGGACCCTTTTTTGGATGAGTCACCTTCATGCCATTCTTCTTCCAGGAAATGCTGCACCCACATCCCGCCAAAATGCCGAGGGGCACAATTGGCTCTACAGCCAAATTGGTGGAGATCATCACTCCAGCTTCCGTCATCAGCAATGGCGTTGTCCGGCCATCAGCCAACGACACTGACACTTTCTTCAGACTGTCAACACAGTCTGTCAGGGCAAGAGGCCTGAGAGGGTGAGTTGCTCCCGAATCGAGCAAGCCCCATTCTTCTTCCTTCTTAGACCCCATTTTTGCTTCCCTGACCTTGGTGAGCTTCAGGGTTTTGATGCTCCTTTTAATCTCATCCAGCTGCTGGTGGAGCTTGTTCATCTTTGCCTCCGAAGTTTCCTTTTCTTTCATCATCCGGAGCATTTTGTTCGCTTCTTCCAACAGCTCATCCATCTTTTCGCCTTCTGTTCCTCCTGCACTCTTCTCATCATCCTCCTTTCTTCCCTTCTCATCCTCCTTCTCCTTCTTCACCTTAGGCGGGGACGTAGAGGAAGTAGGACTCACCGGATCCTTGGTCGGGCAATTCGGAGCGAGATGCTTGGTGGAGCCGCAGGAGTAGCATCTTCGTTGATCATCTTTGAGATCATGGGACCATCTGCAGTCCTTTCCGCGGCGACATCCCGAGTCGGTGAGGAAGAACTTGCAGGGTTGCTTGACCTCCATTTCTTTCACTTTTCCTTCAACACTTTTTCCTTTCTTCATTCCACCTTCATCCAACTTCTTCACCTTCGCGTCCTCCTTCTTTCCTCCACCTGCTCCTGCACTTCTCTTTTCAGCGAGGGCGAGCTGGTCAATCTCAGCAATGAGATGGGTGGCGAACTGGGAGACCGAGACCGGTGTTGGATTGGTGTCAACTTGAAGTGAGTTCCTGGCCAACGAGACCCGAAACCGAAGCCCTTCATTGGCTTCCAAAGTCCTTTTGGTCAACTTGTTGAGGCCTTTGACCAGGATGAATGGATCAGGCTCTGTTGCCCCGATCTCTTGGGCACGAGCCCTCCAGCGAAGCCACCTTCGAAGGCTGACCACCGTCTCGTGGAGGTTGCTCGGCTCATTCGGCTCTTCAAGGTTCCTCAACAACATTTGTTTTTCACTCACACCTCCAGGGCAGTAGGACAGGTGGAGGTGCGCCAAGATTGCAAACACCGAGAGGCGTTTTGTTGCGACCAGTTCATCACGCTGGCCTTCAGGAATCGCTTTGAGCAGCAAGGTGGCCATCCTCCTTTCCAACTTCGTCCACTTCGGGACATTCAAAGAAGCTGGGGCGACGGGCTCATGCTGAACACGATCTAGGGGTGGCATAGCTTGATGATCTTGGTACCATCGTTCAACTTCAAGCATCATCTTTTCCCACCACAAATCCGACGTAGCCGTGAGGTCGGCTACAACTGGTTGCACAAGTAAAAGCCAATCTCCAAGCTGGAGCTGTGAGGTGCTGCCTTGGATGCTCCCCAAAGCCGGGAGCTCTGCAACTTGTCTCACCACTTCGACACCTTTGATGGTGCCTTGACTTTCATGCCCCTCAGAAATCTGACGCTGAAGGGCCTTCATGCTTTCAACGAGCAATGCCATGACCTCCATTTGCTGGATCTCTGGCGAAGGTTTGGCTCCCCCCATTGTAGGCTTTTGGGCGGTCGATCTTGGATCCTCCTTGAACCCCTTTCCATACGAAGGACTTCTTCCTTTTCGCGGTGGGTCTTTGGATTGGGATCTCGACCCCTTTCCATACCTAGCTGGGTAGGTAGACCATGGAGTGCGTCCTCTGCCACCCAACATTTCCAAGACGCTGGGAGCTTCGGGCTTCGCTTCTTCAGGAGTGTTGAACGTCGATGAACTTCGAGGTGCATGACCTTCCTCCTTATCCTTTTTCTTTTTCTTATCTTCCTCTTGTTTTCTCCTTTCTGCATCCTCCAACCTCCACTCATAGAGCTCTTGTTGAAGGCGATCGTTTTCACGTTGTTGATCCTGACATAGGCTTGTCAGCTTCTTCATGTCTTGTGAGATCTGCCATCTCCACATGATCTCCTCTTCTTGTTCTTCTTGAAGGCGGCTTCGACGGCGGCCTTGAGCTCCTTCAGAATCCTCATCCTCACATCGCCTGAGCTCTTCACTTTCATCCTCCTCATAGCTTCCTGGAGCCCTTTTCTTTCCTCCAAACCTTTCTTCCTCTTCTTGAAGGAATGCAGGTCGTTGAAGGAGCTCCACTTGCTCTTCAGAGGACGATGGAGGCGGTGCCTTTCCAAACACCTGAGGTGCCAGACGGGCGGCAGCTCTCGACTCTTTCAACTGCTCCTTCGTGAACAGCGGTGCCATTTACTGCTGCAAAGGAACCAGGGGTGCCAAAGTCACCGGCCGACCTTTTGGATGCTCAGTCGAACCTTTTGCACTGGGCTTGGAACCACCACTACGAAACACTTCCATCTCCGTAGTAGGCCCAGTTGCGGAGCCCGGTGGTCCTGTTGTAGACCTTGTGGGTGTCATCAAACCCTTTTCTTCCTTTTCATCTTTTTCCACCCCTTCTCTTTCCTTCACCTTTCCAGCCTCCTCTGCAGAGGCTCTTGCAGCATCCTCTTCTGGCGGAGGAAGAGCCAGCGAAGGGCCATGCTCCATCGATCGGCGGCGGCGAAGCATGCACGAGCTCGAGGGTGGTGCAGAAGTAGCTTGTTTGGGCTCATAACCTGTTGATACCCTTCTGCGGACATGACCGAAAACACACGTTCCCAAACCAAATGCACAAAACAGATCCGCTGTTCTTTTTCAACGCTTCTTTGGTTGGGGTTCCTCCTTCACGGGAGGTCTTCAAGGCCATCAGGCCCTCACAACAAAAAGGGCTGCGAGATGCAGTCAACCTTCAAGGAGGTGCATGAACAATAATATATATATATATATTAATATATTATATCAAAATCATGCAGGCTCCTTACTGGAACCGAACAGGATCTCACCAAGTTCGCCAATTCCTCACGTCCCATCCCCATTCGTGTCCACCTCCCACTCCCCGCGTCGCCCACTCTCCGCTCGGTCCAGTGAGTCAGAGAAATGTCATCGGGGACTGCCAGGCCCCAAGACCTCCGACCACACTCGACGGTCGATCCACGTGGCCGGTCCGTGTCCGCACTGATGGTTCATCATGCTGGGAACCGTCCAAAACCCGCCCCCAAAAAAGAACAACACCTTCGTTCGCGGATTCGGACGCGAAGCGGCCAAAGTGGTTCCTTGCGTCAAGGTTGCCCTGCGGCATCCTGCTCCCATGCTGAGTTTGACCCTGACCCACTGCCCCACGCACCAGGTGCCCGGACACGCCACCAGAAGCTTCCCCCTTTTGGCCTTTCTCCAACCTCGGCCCACGTCATTCGGCCAGTGGTTTCACCGGCCTCGTTGGGCTGAAGAAGTGGCGGGTACAAATCCATACCAATTCCACAAGGCATATGAGCGACACTAAAAACCTTACGCAGCTTACGCAACAGGGAGGTTTATAGAGTCGCCCATTAGAGTCGCTGCATCCTATTTGTTCCGGTTCTTCACCCCGGAGCGTTCCCGGTGTTCGCCGGTCGGAAGTCTCGGGGCCAAGGAGCTCGTCCAGCAAACGAAAGCTGCGAGGCACAATGACTGCCATGGCCCGGCAGCAGCCTCAGGAGAGAAGTCAGCCTGACTGGCTTCAAAGACAGCGAGTCGACCGACCAGTGGAGTCGACCGACCAGTGGACCGAAAACGTCGTCCGGATGGCTCGACTCGGAGTCGACCTCCGGATTGGCAGAAGAGTCGAGCACAGGTGTTGCTGGTGGTATTGAACAAGTCTTATATATACTGGTGTTTGCCAAAGGGGCTTAGTTGAGATCTACAACGAACCGCGAGAGTCTTTGGGCACGTTGAATGTCAGAAAACTGAATGATCACCACGGTCAGCAGTTCACCGTCTGATGAGTCTACCTGCCGAGTGCAGGCCTATATAAAGCATCCCCAAACCACCCATCCCTTGTATCTGCCAGGCTGCTGCTAGGGACGAGGGAGGGAAGGGCTTGGGTCTTTCAGCCAAAATGGCATCATAGAGTCATAGCCCATGAACTGTGTCCTCAACCTGCCAATACCTTGTTTACCCCTTCATCTGAACATTCTTTCTGGTGAGGTCAGGTCGAAATCAGGGGAAAGCAAAGAAGATTTCAGAAGACTAACTTGAAGATGCTTGAAGGATCTTGAAGGCTATTCTCTGCATGAAGAACGCATACTATTTAGAGGCGGAAGGTCAAATGAAAAATATGAGCATGCGTAAAATTAGGGAAGCATAGGCAGGATTGAGCAAGAAACACGCATAATATACGAAAATAGAATAACATAAACAAATCTTGGGTTCAGTCTTTCCTAGTCTTTCCTGCATGCCGGTCCACACTTTGACCTCTTGCTTCACCGCCATCACAAGACTGGCTTGTTCTTGCCGATCCCTCCCACGTTCTGAGCACCCAATCCTGCCTGAGCCAACTGTTCTTTGGAAACCAAAGGCTCGATCGCCTCCCTGCGCACCAAGTGTGAGAGTCTTCCAAACACGTCGAGTCTTCCAAACGGTAAAGACCTCGTCACGGGAGTCACCGGTCACCACTCAAAGCTGAATGCTTCAGCAAAAGCGACCATCAACCACGTTCTAAACAGAAACTTCCTCAGTCGTTGGCAAAGCTTCAGTCTGGCATGTTCATTCGCCACTGCGGCCACTGTCAGATACTGTCAGATTGTGTCTGCTCTTTGTCCGTCGAATGGCTCGAAAGACCAAGAGAACATCGCCTTGCTGATCTAACAATCTAATCTGAGAAGCTGTTGAAACTCTTGAGAGGCTGGCAAGTTCCTCCGTCGTCACAGTCCCATCAGTCCCAGTCCGGTCAATTCTTAAAGAGTAGTTCAATAAAACAGTTTTGGCGTCGTGAGGAGGCAGTACGAAAGAAACCGTTTTCAGTTCTTGCCCCACAAAAAGACATGAGAAAACGTGTGGTTTTGTCCCACGTCTTTCATCTCCCAACGCACGACCACTTGGCTTTTAAAGAAACGGAAAGCCGACGCCTGTGCACCAGCTGCTCGGCCAAGTGCGAAGGGAAGGAGGGAGAAGTGGCTGCGCCCAACACTGCCTGTGGAGACACTGCCAGCACGTGGTCGCCAAAAAGGATCCCAACAAATAACCATGGCAGGGTCGATGGGTGTCCTTTCCTTGAGAATCTTGAAGTATCTTTAAGGCGTCGGGACCCGTTTTTGACTCTGAGCACTCGGGACCTGGGAGGACCTGGACAACCTGCTGAGGGCCTTCCTGTTTATGGGACCTGGTCATCACTCTCCGATGTTTTGGGGCCATCCTTGTGACATCTTGTGACCCGCTCTAACCATGTCTAACCCCTCCCCAAAACCGCTTCTCGCTCGACCCACACTCTCTCGGTCCCTCCTCGACGACACTGTCCTGCGAGACGGGGCTTCTGGGCCTGGCCAAGCGATCCAAAAAGCGAACCAAAGCTGAACCAATCTTTCAGGGCTCCATGACTGGGTTTCAGGCTTACATGAGCTTGGATCCCCCCACAAAAGACTGGACAGATGGGTAGAACTGGCCTGTTTTGTTGTAGACTGCCCACAAGGCCTCTAGGTGAGTTTGCGCCAGCGGCGCTAGCGTCACACAGATCTCCAAGTCTGGAAGTATTCCCACCAAGATCCGCTGAGCAAACCTGCAAAAGCCCTGCTTTTTTTTGTTGTGACCGGCAGGCATCGACAGGCCATTGATCTACAGTGTTTCCAACATGTTCCAACCTCATAATGTCTCTTGGGGTCCTTGCTGTGGGAAACGACATTAGTGTTTATCACAAGCACCTCTTCCCCCGCTTTTGCGGCCGGCCGCCCACCCGTCGCTTCCGATCCTTGGCTTTGGAGCCTCCAAGACCTGGTCAGGTTCGTTTGGACTCAAAGGACTCACTGTCGTTCACAGGTCAAAGGATTTGCTGGCGTTCAAACCTGGTGAAGTTCTGATTTCTCTGAAGAAATTCTCTGACGTTCACTGTTTTTGGGCATCCGGGCATCCATCATCTCACATCTACACACTGGTCAATCAAACACACGAGGAGTCCTTCTATCCGATGGTTGACCTACCACAAACCCACGGGTGGAATGACCGAGATGTGGGACGAGAAGGACATGTTAATCAAAGGCACATTGGACATACAGGACCCTGGTTCCTTCGTTATCCGTCAGCAGCGTGGAAGCTAGGTGACTCTTGCACCATGTGCATTTATTGTAGTTTGTTGAAAGTAGAAAATTGAAACGGGTGCGAAAGACTTGGTTTGCCCAAATCTTTGGAGTTGTCAAAGTCAAGCCCGGTGTATTACCCCGTTTGAGCAAGCCAAGACTCAAGAGCTCCAGTGGAAAGAAGCAAGCCAGGCAAGGACACCCACCAATGCAGGAAGGTACCAGGTTGAATTTTGTGTGGAGAAGCTGAGCACATACTATCCTGACCCAAAAGGTCGGGGGAAACCTGAGCTTAGGGTCCTGGCTGAGCTTGGACCAAAACCCTGGCTTCACTCAAAATGTCGAGGAAACGCCACGGAGCCTGCACTCCAGGAAGCACACAAATGTCCCACCATGTCCACCCACCTGGCCTTGAGTGCCTGCTTCTCTGAGTGGCGCACCTGCAAGAAGCTTCGGCCAAAAGCACTCGCGAAGGCTTGCTTTTAAGAGGCGCCGGAAATCCTCGATCTTGGCTTTAGAATGAACATGGAGACGTCTGGCCAAGAGTTTTTGTTGGTTCTTGGGCGGGTCTGATCAGCTTGATGTGTTCAGCACAGTTTCGACATGTTTTTTACTACATTTGCCTAGCACAGTCTCCACCTGCTGCTCCAGGATCTTGCACTCCTCCATGACTCTTCGAGGCTCACCTGCCAGCTCCATCATGCTCCCGCCGCGTCACACCGCATTCACCGGGCCTTCCATCCCCCCGTGGCCACCGCGCCTTCCGCACCTGGAGCGCCGGTGGCTCCCACGACCTTCAAGACCTCCTCCACCACGGCATCGCTCGCACCTGCGGGCCGCTCACGGTCACGGTCGGTCGGTCAGAGGGTTCGACCAGTCGAAACACCTGTCGCCCACTGGGCCGCCGGGCGATGGGCACGTTTCTCCATGAAGCTCGTCAGCTCTTGGACCTGTCGGCCCTTCCGGGACTCCCAGGGGCTTTCCCAACAGGGAAAGTTCTGCACAGGAACTTATCAGAACTCGCTGATGAGACTGTTCCTAGATGTTCTCTCTTAAGGCCAAACTCCCAACACAGGATGTGACAGAGTGGGTTCTTCATTCCAAGACGTCGCAAGACCGTTCTCTTCATCTTCGCGTTGTGTGTGTGTGTGTGTCCGAGTATCCCGAATGGACGGTCGTCGCCCACATCGTTCGATGCGAAGCGAACGGGAAAAACCCCACCGTAGATGCAGCAACTTTGGGCTTCGCATCACCTGGCAGCAAGGGGGGCAGAAAGGAACATTAAATTTGGTGCACCAAACTTTGCTTTGAATAGCCAGGCTGCAGTTTCGTCCCACTCACTGTTGGCATTTCAGACGGATGAAGTGCAAGAACCACCAAATACCGCAAAGTACCAGTAGTGGCACAAGGATTTGAACGACTGAACACCGTCCAGTCGCGTCACATTCTGCCCCCTGGCCCCCAGCCTGACAGCTCATCACTGCTTTCCACCCCGCTTTGCCTCGGAGGTATGGACTAGAAATTGTTCAATAACCCTGCGGTTTTCGTTTCAGAAAACCTTCTTGTTGCAGACGAATATGCAGAAACCCGCTTCCGTGGACAAACAGAACGCCGTACGTGGATCCCACGTATGGAAAGTGAATTGTTGCAAGCTGAGTGATAGAAGTGAACATTGTCCGAAGTGCACAAAACGCTGAAACAACAGCCCCCAAAAGCTCCCTTCAACCATACATGTGCAAGGAAGCTAAGGGAAGTTTGTCCCTGCTCACTGTATTTCCACCAGTCCTGTGTTATGCTTAGTGCTGTTTGTTGTGGGTGAGGGGAGCCGAGTGGTGATGTTGGTTGTGAGCGCCAGCGACATGATGCTGTTTTTGGGAAGTGGCTTCGGGTTGTGGTGGGCGGGAGGGCTTGGTGGGTGGGGCCAAGGACCTTCTCGATGTTGGATGCGGCTGTTGCCTCGCTTGGTGGTGCCAGGTGCTGTGCCACCCATTTCCATCCCAAACAGATCTGTCATGCAAGTTCTTGCTCCACCGAGTGCGAAACACTCCCAGACCGAAACGCTGCATGGAAAGCGTTTTGCGCTGCACTCAAGATCGTTTGTGCTCCTAGTAGCTTCTTGTTCCTAGTAGTAAGGCCAGGAGCCCCGAACGTAGCGTCCGAACGCTCCTAGTAGCGATGCCCTTTGCTGCTAGTAGCGTCCTCTACCCCCAAACAAATGTGTGTCCCACAAAAAGGATGGAGTTTGTCAAGTTCCAAGGTCGGGTGTGCGGACCGGTTCACGCCGAAGACCGGTGTGGGCCCGGTCATGTGCGACCGGTCATGTGGTCTTAAAAGCTGCCGCCGGTCAGGGCCTAGAGAGGGCTTGCAACAATATGCAAAAATGCTCACAAGGAGCTGAACAAGCAGCTTGAGATGTGTGTGGAAGCCGGAACCTCTAGCGAACCGAACACGTAAAAAGAAGCGAGCTCCGGTTCTATTTTCAGTGTCCACAAACAATCAATTGACATCCTATTATTGAAAAACGCTACCGAATCGATAGAATAAGACACTTTTCATGTATCGATTTTACAGCACAACACAGAGCCCTTGACAAAACCTGCATATTTCAGAACAGGCCTTCATTGAAAAAGGGCAAAAAGCCTGCCGCAAAACCGTGATCTTGTTTCATCTTGTTTCTACTCCAACCCGTCAAAGCTGGTCCCCTACATTGACCACGACTCCGAGTCGGCTCGTGAGAATCGCCTTCGCCACCCTCCCCCGCGTTCCCGCGGGTTTCTGAGGTCAAGATGCCCCGTGCGGGCCGGGGGAGCTTCCTGCCGTGCGAGCGAAGTTGGTACCAAGAGGACACCAGGACTTCCTCTACTGGGCTCATGATTGCCATATTCTACCATCTGACAATCTGACCAGGGCTTTAACTTGGCAGATAGAAGCTCAAAACAGCAATCTGTACGAGTAGAAAGGGCCCACACAGCTGATCATCTTCTTTTTTGGATTTGTGGACGTCTAAGCTCCCCCAAGTCTGGGGAAACAACAAGTTAGCTGAGACATGCTAAGACAAGCCAAACGGGGGGTGTTAATATTCGTGGTCAATCGCGTCTATATAGATGGTGGCTTCCTGGCTCCACAAGCGGAGGAGTTCCATGACGTACGATTATTCGGGAGCATGCCCTGCTGTGGTATGTTGTTGGGAACCGGGTTGGCTTCTTAGCCAGGGCTGGACCTGCGGCCTCTTCCCCACCATGTTTACTGACATGTGTTTTCGGCATGGATTTAATTCATAGCGTCTTTATCCATTCCATCACCAGTTCCACTGTCCTTCTCAGTCTCAGTTTTTGCTGAAGTCTGACTCGCTTGGCTTGCCTGTCACAAGAAGGCCGGTAGCAAAGCACTGCGAGATGTGACTTGCAACTCCGGTGCTGTCTGGAGTGTCCTGTCCATAGAATGTGCTTCTTTTTAGATGTCTATTGGGGCTTCGGGCATGCCAATGTTTTCTTTTTAACCCAAAATCATGCTTGAAGAGCTGGCACCCCGCTTTCAAGAGTACTGCATGTTCTTGAGCATTTGAATGTAAAATCTAAAACATATTGTGGGGATGTACCTTCTCTTCTTTGACAGGCACCGCAAAACCATGGAATGGATGTTTCCAGGTTGTTTCCCTTTGAATACCTGCTTAGCCTCCTGATACCTCACTCATGACTTGCTACTAAACATAGGCTCAGCAACAAGCTTGGACATCTCGTAGCATCTCATACTCGGCTTCATATGTTTCATGCAGTTTCTACGACTCAATCAGCCAGCCAAACCATTTCCCGCAGCCGAGCCCACCAACCGGCCAACCAGTCTCATCCGTCACGCCGCGACCCCCACCCATCCAAGGTTTGTCCCCCGAGCTCGGGCGGAGGAGGGCGCCCCGCAACGAAGACTCTTTTCCTTTGTGAACAAGGGACTTTCATGGACTTTCCACTTCCATGTGATGTGTTCGGAGTGTCACTCAACTTTCCAGGTCCATAAGGCTAGCAGCTAGGGCTCTCTTCATCTCCATGTAGTCGCACTGATCTACGAAGTCGTCAGCTGAAACGCAGAAAATCCTGACTCCCGCTTTGGGCACCTGATGGTCTGAGATCGGCTGATCCAAGACCAAACCTGCGGAGGCAAAAGGGTCTCGGAGGGTCTCGGCGCCTTTCACCGGGTCTCGGTCCCCAAACGTTTTTTGTCACCTGACAATTATACCTTAGTTTAATAAGCATTGTCTAGCAAGATCCACACTGATCAACTGCACTGCGAAGTGCAATTTCCACCGCCTCCCCAGCTTCAAACCTTTTCGTGCCGCATGAATCCGCTTCCTGCCTGGAGGTGCATCAGGCAGACCGACCTCCTGAGCAAGCAGCTCGAGCCGAAGGTCTGGAAGTCGCCGACGTGCAGCTCGGTCCACCAAACTCCAAAGCCCCTCGAACGCGCCCACTTACGCCCTGACAAACTTCAAGGGCCCCAAGGGCTGCTGATTCACACCCTCGGCAGCCCAGTCAGCACCCTGGCCACCCCTGCATGACCTCAGCACCATTCCTGTCCCCACCCTTCTCCTGGTGGCTTCTTGGTGGGCTCGGCAAGCCGGGAGGCCGACAGGGCAGTCCCGGTGGGAACTCGAACGGCATCGGCATGAGCATCGGCATGGCCTGCAATGCATCGGCAGTGCTTGCGTGGATGTTGGGACTGCTGGGAGGTTGTGTCTAAAACTGCTGCAGTGTGCATGGAATGGTATGATATGGTACGGTACGGTACGGTATGGTATGGTATACAATTCCATGTAATTATGATAAACTGTGTATATATATATTATATTATATTACTATATATTATATACTCTGGTCGAGGTGACGATGGCTAGGAAACAAAAATGCTTGGAAATTCCCTTCTAGCTCCCAGCAATAAAACCATTTGGAAGACAGCACTACAGTCGTGCTCTTGCATGCTTGCACTCCATCTGGGGGTCTCACATGTGTAGAACATGTCCCAACAGAGCGGTGGAACAGTGGAGCTGAAGGCGGTGGAATAGAAGGCCACCGCATATATCAGTGTTGTGAATGGTGCCTCTGAAGGTGCCAGATCCAAGAGCTATTTTCGGATGTGGCCTGTGGACCTGGCTTCACCCCGACTGCCCTTCACCCCGACTCCTCTTGCCGCAGCTGGTAAGAGGGGCTTCTCCCATATCCAAACTGGAGAACACCTGTACTACGTACAAATCACACAAAATCGTCCAGTGTGACTCATTGCGGATGCTTCTAAGCCACCCACATCGCAACCTCAGCCGCGAGCCTCAACCTCTCCCATGTCCAGTGGCCCTGAGCCCGCAGTGTCCAGGCCGAACATACGAGGGCATCGGAGAAATCAGGGACGATGTTTTTTCAGTTTTCGATGTCTCACTGCAGAGGCAACGCGAGCCAGGTGGCTCAACAATTGCCCTGCTGGCAAAGTTTCTGTGAAATCACCTCTCGGCTATGGCTTCATTCTTAAGTCTAAGACATTTGAAGGCCAAACAACATACACTGCCTCAGAAAGCTCGAGTGTCACTTCAAAGGCAACACCTTTCACCCTCCCCGCGACCTGCCTGGCAAGCCTAGCAAGGGCAGCGTGTGCTCCACGGGCTCCGGTTCCAGCGGCATGTCCTGGCAGCGTGCCGAGACGAGGGCTCCGATGTGCGCCGGTTTTGGAGACGGTCTGTTGTGGCAGGGCAAAGCCCAACTAAACTGTGTACATGCTTCTCATTGTGTCTCTCTTCATGTGGTCGCAAGTCAAGTGCAAACTGATGATATGCCCAAATTTCAGCAGAGTGCGGGTCGGGCAAAGCTGAAGGGCTTGCTGATGCTGCACAATTTCCGCCTGCTTCCTTAAACCCTGAATCAACATAATATACCAAATAATAATCGGTACACAGGCTTTACGAGACTTCCCTCCCCTCGAGACAAAAAGGTTCCTAATGAAGGTAGGTGCATGAGACAAGCATGTAAAGTGTGTGAAAATCGTTTGAGACAGTTTGAGGGCACTTCCGGGTTGGTTCCTAGCATTCTCCCGGCTGCCAAAAAAAACGGTTCACAGGCTCGATCTCAAAATCCAACAGCCTCGAGTACTTACCTATTTTAGAAAAACAACAAATGACTGTCCAGCCCTCAAATCCATACAAAGTGCCCCTCGGTGAGGCTCTTCAAGAAGGAGGAAATCAAACACACCAAGAATTGTTGGTTCTGATATTTGACCATGCCCAGTTCCACGTTGGCTTCTGTCCTTACCATTTCTTGCAGTATGAGACGTCCCAAACCTGTTAGTCATGACCTACATACTTTGACAGGTCACCCATGACCTGCATGTTTACTCAGTTTTGCTTGGTGTTTCTCCACAACGTCGCTCAACCAGGTCTTCAAGGTGTCCCACGCAAGAAGAACAAGAATGCTCGATTTGTAGATGGTTTGGTTTAGAGTTCAGAGGACTTTGCCAAGTACTCCAGGAGAATATGCACTCTCTGTCTGTCTGTCTCTCTCTCTCTCTCTAAATAAATAAATATATATATATATGTATGTTATACAGATACACATCATTATATGCCATATATTATACATATATATATATAACTATATGATGATAGCAACATGACAGACTGGCACCAGCACCTGCTAAAACTTGGAAGCTTGTACGTGACGTCTGTTTCCTAAGTACCGCTCTGGGGTAGATGGGGTAAAAGTTGTGAGCTATTGAGGATTATTGGCAAACTGCCCAACACAAACCTTGCACCGAACACAAACGTGCTGGCCTTAGAGCATATGGTCTCCACCCTCCATGATGTCACTTAAACATCAGTCTTTCGTGTTCTTCTTGGGGCCGGAGCTGTTCCCTCCCTTCTTCAGTTCCAACCCAGAGCGCCGTAAGCGCCTCCACCAAGCGGCTTGCTGCAAGACAGCGGATGGAGAAGCCCTGCGCACTGCAGGGGCCACGGAAAACACTTGGTGTCTCACATAGACCGTGGAAGACCTTTTCATACCTTTACTGCGCATTCCTCTCATCCATCTCTCTCTCTCTCTCTCTCCCCCTCTCGCCCCCAAACCAGAAAAGGATCCAAATAACATGCAGGGCAGTGCAGTTGTTTGTTTTAACTGGACCAATTCCTAGGATATGTACAGCGCTCATTCCTGGGCCAACCGAAGCGCTCTTTCAGCGATCCTACACAGACCTCCCCGACCCTTCGGATGCTTCGGAACGCTTTCATGTATCACTCGGCATCGGTGCCTCCTCCTCGTTCGGCTCGTTCACCGTGCCGTGGAGCAAAACGTCCATCTGGAGCGCCAGTGCCGTGCCGGTGCGCGACAAACAAGAGAGACAGAACGTGACGGTGGAACTTGAGAATTGACCAGTGGTTTTCAGGTTCCATGTTAGTCTTCCAGGGGAGTACATGCATGATTTGAACACTGAGTGATGAGTCGAGGGCATAGTGATGCGACGTCAAAAGAAACAACACCCTCCAAAGTACACACAGCTTCGCCTCTCCATCCACCTCGCTGGCAGTGGTGATGGCCTGATGGTTTGTCTCTTTGCATGAATGCCATGCTGAAGCCATCTTGGTCTTTCTGGAGCTAATTGCCCAAAAGACTACCGCAATTATCCAAACGGTAAAGATACTTTTTTTTGGGGGGGGGGCAGCGGATCATTTGGGTCGTCTCATAAGTGAACCCCAAGCACCGTGACTATGGTGAAAGACCGTGAGACAAACACAGCGGGTCACAGCTCGAACAGCCAAACTCTCCTGACACGGGTCGTGAACTAACAGGACCTGGTCAAATGCTTCTTTGGGGCGTTTCTCTCCATGGTCACTCGATATAATATGACATGGTGGTTGATCAAGACTCCATGCAGTTGTCATTCTTCGCGAACACAAATCATTACAAGGACCTCTTGATCACCATCTATGAGTCCAAGAATCTGTGAGAAACAACTTGAACACATAATATGCACACATCAACTCGAGTCAACTCTCTCGCTCTCTCTCTCTCTCTCTATCTACATATATAACTTCCTCCATCCCAACAAATACCTGGATACCTTCACTGTTGCGACGCCAAGGTGAACACTGCTGCCCAGGCACCAAGAAGAGGCCTGTCTGCTGGTCGCACCTGGCGAAAGAAATCCGCACTGCACACGCAGAAGAGGCCTTCACAAGATCAAAGGTTGCAGCCATTCAGCCACTGGACAGAATTCTCCCGAAAAAGCAGAGCTCTGCCGGCAGGATCTCTCTGCGGGCAGAGGGTGTTCCGACAAGGCAACGGGCCAATAATGAAGAACAAAGCCAGCTGTATGTTTCGCATGTGTTCGCTCGTCGGCCGCAAATTGACCCAAAAAGAAAGGCTGACTGGCAATGTGCGGCAGACTTGACAGTTGCTAGCAGCCCACCCCACATACACCCCCACATACCCCACCATCCACATTGGCCTGGATGTGTTCTTTGCCAGTACACTTCCCAAAATGGATCTAGCTCAGTCCCTCACAACGGTACTTCCTGCAAGGCGTACGTATCGCGGCTGGTAGCCTGATTTGACTCGTGGCACTCATCTACAACACCCGTCCACCCCACGACGAGACCCACCGAAGAGGTGAAGGGAAGCTCAAGCGCTGCAAAAGAGTCAGCCTGGGCCGGATGTGGCGCCCGACCGAAAGGACACATGACCACAAGCAAGCCGAAAACTGCACCCGAACGGCATTTTAGACGTCCTGTCTAAACCTCTGATCCATCGGATGGGCCGGTCCGAGGAGCGACCCGTGACGCCGACTCTGCAAGGCCGTCCACGACGAGAGTGGTGCGGACCCCTGCTTCTGGACGGATGGGATACACGGCCGAGCCGTGTTTGGTGCCGTGTTCTCACCGATCCCTGAAAATATCTTGTTGGAGTCTCTCCACAAATCACGGATGGCGTTTTCCTGTGACCAAAAACGTGGCTCTGAAGCAACAAGTTTCAGAGAATGAATGACCAAACCTCTGCAGCCTGGAGGCTGCGTCAGCCCAGGCGGCGGAAGGGCGCAAAGACTCACCTGCTGCGACGGCACGCTGTGAAAAGTGTTTGTCCATCCACTCCAGGCAAAAGCTTCGTACACCTAGTCAATTGCAATAGGATGCTTCAGCACCCCCAATATGCACCTCCCACCCCGTTGGCGGCTCCTCTTCCGAGACGGCACCCCAATATGCACCTCCCGTTGTCCAATGAACAGCACCACATTGGCACTCAGCAGCCGAAGCTCCTCACCGGGAGCGAAAACGACTCAAATGGGATGGGAACTTCTGTGTCCCAAGGACTTGAGGACTGCAAAATGGAGGTCTTGCTGCATGTGGCACTAGGTCCTACTAGGTGCAAGACCGTCCCAACATCCTTCCAACCCCAGACCGACTGGGCATGCCTGGCTTCCGTCCAGCTCCTCAGGGATTCCATTTGCTCGACGTCCGCAGTTCGCGGATCGGAGGACGGTTTAAACCGTTTGGCGGTGTTTGCATCCGGGAGAAACATGGAGTTGGGCCTTTCTTTTGGGATTTTCTCTTGATCCGGATTGTTCCTTCCTTGGAATGATGCATGTGTTTCTTAGGTGCAAGATGACGAAGCCCACGAGCTAATTGCTCAAAACACCACCCAAAACATATCTGGACAATCCCGCTCTGCAGCACAGAATCTCATATGCTGCTGCACCTGGTCACCACATTCTGTCTTCTCTAGGGTCCAATGACAAGAACAAACACCCAACATCCACCCACGACCTGCAGCCGACACTATGACACTTGATGGCAAGTATTAAAGGCGTCTGGAGCCAGTTTGGGCGTATCAGCAGCATGTCTTGACTCGACAATGGCCGGCAGCCAGCAATGCAGCAGGCACTTGCTGTCGAGAGCACATAAAAAAGTAAAATAAGAATAATTAACATGGATCCAAGATGATGCAAAGGTACTTGTCCTCGTGGACAACCATATTATATGCAAAAGAGCTACTGTAACTGCATGCTCTGCCCAGCACATGAAGCCCTCCGAACGGAAGCAAGAAGAACTGCGGAGCGTCCCCCGCACCACAACAGCGCTTTCACCACCGAAACAGGTCGTAACGGGTAGTACCACGGACGTACCACGAACCTTCCAAGGTGTTTGACTCTTCAGGTGCTTTTGCAGGATATAAACATGCTCCCCAAGGAGAAAACCACAGCCCAAGCATCGCAAAGGAGATTCGGGGTGGGTTTGTAGAACTGATGGCCTCATTGTATAGAACCACTTGAAGTGACTACCTCGATAGCTCGAAATCAAACTACTTTGGTTCGGTGTTTTCTATCACGGGGCACGGGGCACGAGTTCTTTTTCTGTAATTTAACTTTATTGGTTTATCTATGATTACTAATTGCATCTATTACTAAGTACCAAAAAACATTGCCAGCTTTGTCTCGCCAACGATGTCCGGATCGAAATGTGTTCGTCGCACGGTCGGGCCGTTTGAATCAGAGTGTTGAGACCGTCTCTCCTCCAATGGCATGATATCGACACCCAGCACCGAGGGTTTTGGTGTCTCCTGCACCATTCGGAAACGGTGCGTTCAAAACAAGAGGTCAAGCAATCTCCAAAAAAGGCAATGCTTTCTTAATCGACTGTCAATTCTTCTGACGAACTGCTTCTTGATTTCTTGCATGTTTTGCTGTGGCTGACATGCCAGGTTGGGCTGTGAAGTAGCAACAGGGTTTACAGAGCAGGCAAAGAAAAGGTGCAGGGTTGCGGGCCCGAGAGCAGAGCCATGGTGCGAAGATCAACATGCCCGAAGCATGTGCGTTCGCTGCTGGTTCCGCAGTGGGAAACGGAACTGGATCTTGCACAGGGATTTATGAAGACTCTCAGGGAGACATTGCATCAATCACAAAAAACATGTGTCTTCGATACTTATACAGATCGACTAACTTGCTTCCTTCAAAGAGTCCAGTTCTCTCCTACGGCCATACATGGGCCGCTTCCCACCCAAGCCGAAGCAGTTTCGAGCCGAGGCATCCGTCGGACTTGTCCTCGCACAAGGACCATCTCCAGAAGCTCGTCGCTGAGACCGCACCCAAGAGGCCTCGACCAAGATGTTTGGGAGCGGCGAATCGAAGCAGGAACATGTCCCTCATCTTGAACGCAAATGATTATTCTATGTTGTATTGTGTAGTGAGATCAGATTTTGAGATTTGTCCGATGTGTCCTTTTCATGCGGCAAGGTCAGAGATCGAGCTGTATTGGCTTTGCCTTCGGGCGAGATTGCCATGTGTTGGAGGGTCTCCTGCAGAGGCATCCACGGCGAGGCAGGAATACCTATACCTTTGCTCTGTGACAACAGGATATGACATGAATCGTCAAGTTAACGTTAGTTGCTTATTGCCTACTCATTCGCACCCAACACCAACTGTGCCATACCACTTGGAATGCACTTACATTTGACGAACCTGTGGAATAGAATAGAAAGATGCAAACACGATGAAGACCGACACCGTGGTGAATAGTTGCTTCACATCAAAGCATTGCAGGCACTCACGATCTGCTGATTGAGTTACACCAGGTTGTGTCTACCCGTCTACCCTCCCATCAGCAACTTGGATTGACCTACATCCCCACGAGCCTTCGGATCCGACACTTTCGCCTCTCAGGGGAAGCCACAGTTGGGGTGTTTCTTGGCCAAGCAGGCTAAGCAGGACTTGTCAAGTAGTAGCCTCAAAGAATGTCCCAAACAAATATTCAGAGAGTCACAGAGACGAACGAAGCAGTTAGAGCAGTTGAACGCACATGGTTGGCATTGAACATCATTCACAGTATACTGGCATCTCCTTTCCGTGCCCTTCTTTCCACACCATTTGTCCTTTCTCTGCACAGCTGTAGTCAGTCGTTTCCCATCTGGAAGCAACTAGAGGTCCAAAACCCATGTCTTCGATCGTTGGTCAAAACCCGGCTCGGCGGATCCCTCGGACAGCGAACAAATGCCGATGGATCCGACACCAAAAATACTGTACAGGGCCAGCAAGGGTCGTGGGTAAACTCCATCCGCCCTCATCGGGAGACTGTACACAAAGTATCACAAAGTGCTGTCAAATTGAGTCAAGAACTCCACAAAAGCTGGCAAAAGGTCAGTAGCATACTGAGACAGAGTCAGAATGAGCCAGACCAAGACCATGCACTCAGTCTAGGGTCTAGGATTAAAACTCAACGACAATCTTTCGCGTAGATTCAAAGATGGCTCAACGCTTCTCAGGCGGCTGAGGAGGTTGCTCAGTCTGCTCTTGGCCAGTCCTTGGCACAACAGACTTAAGAGCTCTCAAAGCTGCTGCTTCATCTTCAACACTGAAGCCCTTCCGAAAGGTCTCGTCTCGGACCGTGATGACCACACCCAAGCGGCGGCGCCGTGCTCCCAGACCGGGATCGCGTGACCAGTCCAAAGCCCACCAAACGTTGTTCAGCGTCATTCCCCACACTTTCTGGCCCAGCTCTCTGTCTGTGGCGAAACTCACACCAGAGCCAGGGCCAATTGTGATCCTCTATTCCTGGCCAAAGGGAAAATAATATCGCTTGATGTTCAGGTGATCCTGGCAAATATCCACAAACTGATCCTGATACAGCGGCGCCGGTGCCACGTCGGCCTTTTCCATGAAACTCTATGTCAGAGGGACAAATGCTCACTGTCTGCCTTGATGTCAAATTCTTGAGCCAAATCACGTGTATCTAATTGTCTTAAGCATGTCTTAACTACTAGCATGTTGTGGACGGCATAAATGAAAACATATCACACTTCCCTCACACAAGAGGCTTTGAACACCTGGGATGAATACTGACACGTGGTCACTAGGGTTCCAGATGGGTCTAGGCTTCGATGAGTCGCCACGGCTTTCGCGCTACAGTTTGCATGGCGGTGTCGTCAGCACGAGATGCATCACGCACCTCAAGTCCGCACGTTGCTTAGCAACGGAAAGGCCAACACGACGAAAGCCCACAAAGGCAGACTGGCCTCTTTCGCCCCGAAACGCTGACCGGCCTCTCCACAGGAAGCTTCCACCATTTGGGGTGTGATCGTGATTCCAGTCTTGTAGTCCTCTCGTCGGCGCTTGGCTGGCAACTCGACCGTGGGGCAACGAGCCGGAAAAAATGGGGTGCCTCATGAGGCCGGTCTTGCCACTCATCAAGGCCCAGCAGAAAAGACAGAGTGAGCAGAATGAGTCATAGTTCAAGACCAGTCCGATGCTAAGTCCAGCTTCGCACAGCTCCGGCAAATTTGGTTGCAACGAGGATAGGGAACAACAAAAAGATTCAGGCCATTCTCAAAGCACGGGCCCAGCAAACCTTCCCATGCTCACTTTGCGAGGATCCCTGGAAAAAAAAATACAAATGGCTCTTGCGCTCAAAATGTTGAAACATGACCTGTCAAGTTCCGATTCAGGCATATTCCTGTCCGATGCTTGACCACCGCGACTAAAAGATCTAAAAGGGAAGTTGTTCATCACTCAAGATACAGTGTCTCAAGATGCAGGTGACACACAAGAAATGCATCACGGTAGAAAATCACCACACTATTCTGTCATAAGTTGGGAACATACCTGACCACGTTGCGAAATGATTTTGAGACCACCCCAAGGATCTGATGCCGTTGGATTCCAAGCGCAATTGGGCTCCGACATGCTGATTCAAGCAAAAAACGTTGGTTGGACTGCTCTCTAAGACCCATCTCAGACTTGTTCCTCTCAGCTTGACCTCCTCATCAGGTCCACGTCCCTTTGCGGAACGCCTGACCAACTTGAGGCGCTGTCATGGCGAAGTGGAGCAGCTGCAGGTTCCAAAGCCTGAAAAAGGATGAGTGCATGGAGTGCATTGGAGGGTAGGAGAAGACATGGAGAAAAGCCACGGCATTTCTGCCCTTTCCCATCATCAAGTCTACCAGTGTGCTTTTGCATCCGTCCATCTGGCCATTACTTGGAGCTACCTTTTGGGGGGCCAATCCAGCTCGTCTCCCCTCGGGGCCAACGGGTCGTTTTCCGGTCTTCACAGCGGAACTCACTGGTTGGTGTCTTACCAACCCTGCAAGCGCGGCTACCGGTTGCTCCCTGTGTCCGAGTGCATCTCAGGTCAGAAGCATGGCTCTTTGGTCCGCCTCCACATCTGAGCTGCGGGGGAACTGTCCTCAGACGAAGATGCATTTTTGAGCGAGGCATGCATCGGAGGTCCTGCCTGCCATCGGAAACATCCCCGCTGGTGGATGGAATGAAACGGAAGGATGGGATGCCTACATGGAGGGGAAATGCACACCAGGAGTGCCGTGGTTGAGCACATAGTATGGATTGCACGTTCTCCAGTCTCTCCACCCTTTTAATTATTTCCCCACATCTCTGTGTGGGGTTCTAGTTTTTTGGCTGGCATCCCGCCCGCATCCGCCGGTCCTTCCGTCCTCCTCGCCCCCTCCTCCGTCCACTCACTCACTCACTCACTCACTCACTCACTCCCTCGCTCGCTCACTCACTCACTCACTCAGTGACTCACTCACTCACTCGCTCACTCACTCACTCACTCAGTCACTCACTCAGTCACTCACTCACTCGCTCACTCACTCACTCACTCAATCACTCACTCACTCACTCACACTCCCACGTCTGCAGAGACTTCGTCACTCACTCACTCACTCATTCACACCACTCACTCCATCACTGACGAGACTGCAGAAGGGCCTGCAGTGTCCAGAGACTGCAGAAGGGCCTGCGGCGCGCGTGGTCGCCG